AATCTGATGGTTAGATGCTACTTGATCATTAGAGGTTTGTGGGTTTGTTCTAAAGGCGTTTATTGCCTTCCTCTTCTGGGGCTGTACTGCGTAATGAAGCTCCAAATGATCAACTTCCGATGCCTCATCCTTCTAGGGTTCTGTCCACTCTTTGATCATAGAGTTCTCAACTGGAGGAATAGATTACACTGCTTGAATATGTTCAGGTTGAAACTCAGAGACGATAGAGTTCTCAACTGGAACCTCAGGAGCCACAGGGATATGTGTAGATGAAGATTGTTCACTTGCATTGATGGATTATGTTGAAAGTAGTAGGTTAGGATCATTGGACAATGGTGATGGTGATGATGGTGAGACTAGCACATTATCAAGATTAGGCATTGATGGGTGTATACTTGGTTTTGACACTTGTGATGTATGGGGACTTGGTGCATGTGTTGATGCAATAACTGAATAAGGAAATTCAGATTCATTAAACGAAACATGCCTGGAAATATAAACTTTCTTTTTGATGACTTCATAACATAGGTAGCCCTTGTACATATCCCAGAAAAATGCACTTAATTGTTCTAGGTTGTAACTTTGTAGAGGTTAATGGGGCGTTTGTTGCACCAGACTATCTCGGACTGGACTAACTTTAGGGACTAAGTTGGATTGGTTTGGCATGGATTAAGTAGTATAAGAATAATGAAGCGTTTGATGTAATGTTGGACTAAATCACGGACTAAATTATTTTAGAGCTAAAATACTTTTTTGTCATTTTCTTATTCATTTTATTAATATTTACACACTTTTTTATTTGATTCTACCTCCCCATCCCTCTACTTTTCTTCTCTGGTTTGCATTTTCTTCTTTGCAAGCCCCGATTTACTTCTACTAATAATCAAACCCAGAAACTTCCTCTTCTTTTCATTTGCTTTCTCTTTAATTAAAACTCATATTTCTCTTCTTTTAATTTACTTTCTCTTCATATCAAACCCAGAAAAATCCCAATTTTTTTCTTCAATTTGCAAAGGCTCGGATCGTCGGATTTGCAAATCGATGACAAACTTGCAGACGCATCCTCCTGGCAGAGTGCTTGGCGGCCTCGAGGAGGATGCGACGGTCAGTGGAGCAAGATCTGGAGCTACAGCCTGCGGGTAGGGCCTATGCAAGAGCTGGAGCTACCGAATTGATGATTGCAGGTCGAGAAAGAAGAAAAACGTAATTGCAGCGGTTAGGGATCTGTGGAAGACGAAGAGGAAGACGACTAAGGAAGTCGAAGCATCATCACGGTGATGAAGCGAAGCGATGGTCTTCGCAATCCCATCCTTTTTGCCTGGCCTCACTAAGCCTAGCTAGCGAAGAGTTTAGTCGGAACGAATCCGAGCTAGTTCCATTAAACTTAGTCTTGGCTTGCACCAAACATGGCTTAATATTCTTAGTTAAGCTAGTCTAGTCTAGTGAGGCTTAATGAGTGGAAACAAACACACCCTAAAGGTCTTAAGAGTGGATAACAAGAGTAACCAAAGAATTTGAGGTGACTGACATCAGGTACAGAACCATAGAGCATTTCAAATGGTGATTTCTGATTCAGAGTTTGTGATGGCATTCAATTAACAAGATATATTGATGTTTGACATGCAAAAGACCAAAATGGTGCAGGTAGGTGAGATGTTTGAAGAAGAGTGATTGTAGTTTCAATAATGTGACGATGTTTCCTCTAGGCCAAACCATTCTGTTATGGGGTGTATGGACAAGATAAGTGGTGACTGATGCCTTTGGCAGCAAGAAAGGTTTGTAACTGTTTCCCTATATACTCACCCCTCCATCACTCTGAAGTGTTTTAATAGACATTGAAAAATGATTAAGTATAAACTGATAGAATGTAATATAATGTGGGACAAACATCAGCTTTACTGACAAGTGAAAAAATTCAACAAAATCGAGTACATTGATCTATGAAGGTAACATAGTACTTAACCTTTTATAGACAGACATGGGGCAGGACCCCATACATCACTGTGTACAATATCAAAAGGTTTGACAATTTTGTATGTGGCTGAATCAAAGGGTAGCTTGCTAATTTTGCCTTCAATACAACTTGAACACATCACAGGTATAAAATCAGAAATGCTAGATACATTTGATTTCTTAAGCATAAGAGAAACAACTTTGTTGGAGGGATGGCCTAACCTATGGTGCCATAGACTAGAGGTTACTGGTTTGCCAATATAAGCAACAGAGAAGGCTTTTGGTGTATGAGATAAAGATGATGTGAAGGGGGGATGAGATACAATCCATCATTGCAGAGACCCTTGAACAATATTCTCCCCGTGGCTTTGTCCTAAATCTAAAAACACCAAGCATCAAATATCAACCAGCAATTATTATCAAGGCAGATTTTATGTACAGAGAGTAAATTCTGAGATATTCTGGGCACATATAGAACTAAATTTAATTTTAGATTGTGAAAGGGAATATGCAATATGGCAGATCCTTTATGAGAAACTTTCAAACCTTCACCACTAGCAGTTTGAATCATCTTAGTGGAAGGAAGATGAGCTGTCAATGACAAATTCTTCAAATTTGCAATCATGTGATTTGTTGCACCTGAATCTGTAAGCCAAACTTGCTGAGAAAAGGTTGAGTCCATTGGAGGCACAGATACATTGACATGCATAACATTCATTGATCCAGAAGTAGAATTAATGTTGGCATTCCTGAAATGACAAAATTGTGCACTGTGGTTCTTTCATTCACAGATTTGACACCCTTCAACTATTGCAGATTAAGTGTTCCGAAATCTACATGTATTAGCAAGATGACCATATTTGCCACATATCTAACAAGAATTTCCAGAATTAGCCTGAATTGGTAAAGTTCCAAGAATCCCACGAGCTGGATTTGGATAAAAAGGCTTGTTGTTCCCAAATTTGGAACAATACTGGAACTTCCCTTTACCTTTATTCTTATTGTAGAATGGTTTATACTAAGAGCCATATTGAGTTCCATAGGATTGCTTGCTGAAGAAGCAATGCTTGAGAGTGCTTCTCCACCTTCTTTTCTTACTGCGATGGCTACTAATAATAGTGGTTCTCAGACACGTTTTAATGGGAAATCTGGACAACAGTCTTCTTACAACAATCAAATTGCCGGGTCTAATTCTTGGCAGGTGATGAGACTGTTGCAGTAATCAACTGCATCAATGCACGATCGTGCATCTTCCAGATCTTGTAGGCATCAGATTATGTTTGACAAGTAACTCCTTCAGAATCAACCTCAGACCCATTAGATGTAACCCTTATGAATTGAATAGGACAAGGTGAGGATCCATCCACAAAACCCATAATTCCATACCATTTAAGAAGAAGTTGCATCTGAAAATTCCAAACTAAGTAATTGGTCTCATCGAGCTTTACTGTCACAGATGTTGAAACAGTGGATATGAGGGATGTAATTGGAGACTGAATAATCTGCAGTTGTGAAGCAGTAACCATTTATGCAAGAAACCTGAAATCTTGAAGAAGAACAACTATTGAAGACTTATATCGAACACTTGGTGTGCACAACAGACGAACACCAAGAAAAATGATAGAGAGAAGATGAAGAACCCCAAGAAACTAGCAATGATGATAATGAGAGTAGAAATGATGAGTAGAAGCAGTTCCAGATCGAAAATATCCAACTGAGCGATTAGCTATTCCGGCGACGATACCATGTTAACCAAGCTGTAATCTCAGAGAAGAATGAGATGTATAAAGCTTGTGAAAGATACGAAGAAGAAGAAAGAAGATAGAGAGAGATAGAGAAAGATTTAGAGAGAGAGAGGCAATCTTTTCATGTATATTTTTTGTCAATTTACATTCTTACAATATCAAGACTATATACTATCTTCTATGAAACTTATTGTCTAAGTCACAATGTAACTAACTCTAACAACCTTCCTAATCTTATCTTTTGACAAGTGTCTCCATATTCTACCATTGGATTACTATCCTTAATAGGTGATGAGTAGATTTTATATTGTATATTTTACCCTAATCTTAGTATATTTTGGTTAATATATTAGAAGAATTTTGATACTTTGAATTGTATTTTCAATATAGGACTCGACTTCCTCTGGAGCAAAACAGGATCAAATGGACGAATTATGGAGTAATTCTAGATGGAGGACGTTCGTGAGTCACTTAGCTAAATTTAGGATTTTTCCACCAAGCGGTTATTTTCTGGCGATGAAATAAAGAAGCAGTGCGCAGTGCTGGAAAATGACGTTTTTGGGCTTAAATGACGTTTGGAGCCCAAGATGACCTCAGATGGGTTCGTGGCCTTCTGGAAAAGTGTTCAGAATATTCCAAACATTAAATCCAGCTATATTGGGCCAGTTTTGGAGCAGCTTATGGGCCAAAACGTGGCTGTTCAAATTTTAGACGAATTTTATCATTTAATTTAGGGTTATGTTTCCTAGGGCTTGGGGGGTGGCTTGGAAAATATATTGCATAGCCGTCTACAGTTTTAGGGTACGCTTTCTTTTATGCAATTTTGGAGACAGAGAGAATTGTTAGATATACGTTCTACGTTGGAGGTTCCAAGTAGAATATGAATTAGGAAAATCTAACCTTCAAAGTGGCATGTGTAGATCATAAGTAATTGGTAAAAATTCATAGGATTGCTAGGTGATGGTGGAACCCTAGTGCTTTCTTAATTTTATTCTCCCAAAACTGTTTTCTTTTCTCTCCAGCTCTAATATTGCAGATTGTTTATTTTAATTCATTAATTTCGTTTTTATTTTAATTAGGTTATAAAATCAATCACTTCAATTTCTACTTTACAATAATTAAATGGAATCTGATTAGTTCGAATTATTTAATAATTCCTGTGGAGACGACCTTGCGAAATCCGTTTATACTACAACAACCTTGTGATTCTTGCAAGTAAAATAGGAAATTTAAGCCCGTTCACATGAGTAGTAAAAATCCTATCAAGAAAATGGCGCCGTTGCCGGGGATTTTTTAACATAATTCCTACGAATCAGATTTTCAATTAGTTATTGATGTTTATACATATAAAAAAAATTAATTTTCGTTTTAATTTTATTTTTACAGATTACAACAGTACAACAGTGCAGATTTCAGAAATCTGTGCATGGTCAGCACCCGTTCAACAGTGCAGAAATTGATTCCATTTGATCCAGAACTTGAGCAGAATTTAAGGAGGAGGCGCAGAGAGCAAAATTTGCAGCGGGTTCGTCCTCTGCAGGAGACATTTATGCAATCAGTCTTTTCTGGGGACCTGCACAACAAAGAAAAAATGGCGTTTGTAATTCCAGAGGCAGGTCTGCCCCTGGGTGATTCACTGACTGCCCATACCACAATATACCCAGTTGCATTACATATCCGGCAGTGGAGGAAGAGACTGCATTTGAAATAAAACAGCACATGTTGAATATTCTACCTACGTTTCATGGGTTATCATCTGATGATCCTAACATGCACATTGCATAATTTTTAATGGGGTGCAAAAACATTTTGGTGAGGGGATTTTTAGCCGAATCTATTAAGCTGCGGTTATTTCCATACACACTAAAAGATCAAGCAAGGAGATGGCTTCTCACATTCCCATCTGGAAGCATTAGCACTTGGGCCCAACTTAGCGAAAATTTTTTAAACAAGTATTATCCGGCTTCTAAGACTCTTGACATGAGAACTCAGATTTTATCTTTTGCCCAAAAACCAAATGAGGAGTTTCATGAGGCGTGGGAGCGGTTCAAAGAGTTGATTAGAAAATGTCTGCATTCGGGTATTAACACTACTCATCAAATGCATATATTTTTCAGAGGGTTGAATATGACTACAAAAACTCTTGTCAATGCTTCATGCGAAGGTTCGTACAAAGACAAAAATGCACAAGAGGCTTGTTCGTTATTTGAAAAAATGGCAGCAGATACACATCAGTGGGCAGTTGAATAGCCACAATCTAGGTCTGTTTTTGAGATGTCTAACGGTTCTCCGTATGTTACAGCACAAATTGAAAAAATGGAAAAAAGGCTTGACGCAAAATTTAACATGTTATTACAGAGAATGCCAGGTTCTCAGGTTGCTGTACAGCAGCCCTTACAAGCTGCCTGCAGCATTTGCAACATGATAACTCACGATTTTATGAGCTGCCCACATAAAGATGTTTCACCAGATTTTACAGCAGAGCAGGTTAATGCATTTAACAATTTCCAGCGTCCCTGATATGACCCGTATTCTAATTTCTACAACCCAGGTTGGAGAGATCATCGTAATCTAAGGTGGGACAAGGAACAGCACACTAGGCCTCAATTTCAATAGCAGGTACAGCAACCTGCTGCACCTAAGGCTGCTTGGGAGGTTGCAATTGAAAAATTGGCAAATACTACCACTCAAGAAATTCAAAATATGCAGGCAACAGTGAAAAACATGGAAAAACAGATGGGACAGATTGTTTTGTAGGTTTCTGGAAGGGCACCGGGTACATTTCCCAGCCAAACCGAACCAAATCCAAGGGTAGGTGCAGATTGCAAGGCAGTTAGAGTTCTATGATCCGGCAAAAGTTTTGATAACAGGGATGAAAATTGCGTTCAAAATTCGCGGGTGGCTTCCTAGCCAAAAACAGATTCGGGGAATGTTGAAAAATCTGCCAATTCAAAAGATTCTGAACGGTCATTGAACAGTTCCACAAATGGTGCAGATATTGTTGAGGATCGTGTTTATGAGCCACCTATGCCTTATCCTGAAAGGTTGAAGCCTAAAGTTAAAGATCAACAATTGACAGATTTTATGAAGACTTTGTCTAGAGTTCAGATTAATCTGCCGTTAATTGATGCCATCAAGAACATTCCGTCTTATGCCAAGTTTTTGAAGGATGTTTGCACAAAGAAAAAGAAGCTTGTTGATTTTGAGAAAGTGATTCTTACAGAACAGTGCATCGCTGTCCTGATACACAAGTTGCCCCCAAAGAAACAAGATCCAGGGAGTTTTACAATTTCATGCACAATTGGAAATTCTCATTTTAAACTGCTTTAATTGATTTAGGTGCTAGTATTAATTTAATGCATTTTTCTGTTTTTCAGAGACTAGGACAAGGAGAAATCAAGCCTACATCAGTTATTCTACAACTTGCGGACCGTTCAGTTGCTTATCCAAGGGGTATTATTGAATACCTAATTATTAAAGTGGATAATCTATATCTTCCTGCAGATTTTGTGATTTTGGATATGGATGCAGATATGCAAACACCGATTATTTTGGGACGCCTCTTCATGGCAACAACTAGAACGTTAATTGATGTAGAGGCTGGGACACTTACACTTAGAGTGCAAGATCAATCTGTTGTGTTCAGTTTATTTGAAGCTACCAAAAGGCCAGATGATGTGCTTGATTGTATGCGTGTTGATGTGCTTGACAGCTTATTACATGCTGAAATTATGCCACGGTTGACATCTGATCCATTGTTAAATGTGTTGCATGGGTTTGAGAATAAAAATACAGAGGATGAAGAGGTTTTTGAGTATGTTTCAGCTTTGGAAAGTGTTCCTTTTCAACCCCCACGTTGGAGGCATGTTTTTGAGAGTTTGGGGGAACCCAAAAAGCTGTTGCAGCTTTCTAAGGTACAACCACCTAAACTGGAGTTAAAGGTGCTTCCAGAACACTTGAAATATGCTTATTTGGGTGCAGATTCTTCGCTGCCAGTTATTATAGCTGCTGATTTATCATCAACAGAAGAAGATAAATTGTTGCGCATTTTAAGGAGTCATCAAGATGCAATTGGCTGGACTATAGCTGACATTAAATGGATCAGCCCTACAATTTGTATGCACAAAATTTTGATGGAGGATGAAGTAAAACCTGCCATTGACGCTCAACGTCGGTTGAATCCAATTATGAAAGAAGTTGTTCGTAATGAAGTTATGAAGCTTTTGGATGCTGGGATGATCTATCCTATTTCAGATAGTAAGTGGATTAGTCCAACTCAAGTGGTGCCAAAGCGTTCTGGTATTACAGTTGTGAAAAGTGATAATAATGAACTTGTGCCTACTCGTTTGACTACAGGGTGGCGTATGTGTGTTGATTATAGAAAGATCAATGCTGGTACTAGAAAAGATCATTTTCCATTGCCATTCATTGATCAAATGTTGGAAAGGTTAGCTGGTCGTGCTTTCTACTGTGTCTTGGATGGCTATTCAGGGTACAACCAGATTACGGTTGCCCCTGAGGATCAAGAAAAGACAACCTTTACTTGTCCTTTTGGGACTTTTGCATATAGAAGAATGCCTTTTGGTTTGTGCAATGCGCCTGCCACGTTTCAGCGTTGCATGATGAGCATATTTACCGGATTAGTTGAACATGTAGTTGAAGTATTTATGGATAACTTTTCTGTTTTTGGGGATTCTTTTGACCAATGTTTGCAGAATTTATCTCTAGTTATTGAAAGGTGCATTAAGACAAACCTGGTTTTAAATTGGGAAAAGTGTCATTTCATGGTTAAGCAGGGAATTGTCCTAGGCCACTTGATTTCTAATAGGGGTATTGAAGTTGATAAGGCTAAAATTGATGCAATTGAAAAGTTGGCACCTCCGACAACTGTTAAGAGTGTTCGATCTTTTCTTGGCCATGCCGGGTTTTATAGACGGTTCATCAAGGATTTCTCCAAGATTAGCCGACCCTTGTGTAATTTATTGGCTAAAGATGCTCATTTTGTTTTTGATGAGGCTTGTTTGGAGGCCTTCAAGAAGTTAAAGACACTCCTCACTACAGCACCCATTATTGCAACTCCTAATTGGAGCCTACCTTTTGAACTGATGTGTGACGCATCAGATTATGCAGTGGGAGCAGTTCTTGGACAGCGGAAAGATAGACTTCCCCAAGTTATATTATGCTAGTCGAACCCTTAATGATGCACAACTAAACTATGTAACAACAGAGAAGGAATTGTTGGCAGTTGTTTTTGCTTTGGAAAAATTTCGTTCGTATTTAGTTAGGGCTAAAGTGATTGTTTATACAGATCATGCAGCTTTGAAATATTTGTTGTCTAAAAAAGATGCTAAGCCTCGATTGATTCGTTGGATTCTTTTATTGCAAGAGTTTGACTTAGAAATCAGAGATAAAAAGGGCAGTGAAAATGTGGTGGCTGACCACTTGTCTAGATTGAATATTCCGACAGCTTCAGAAGATGATTCCCTACCACTGAGGGAGAGTTTTCCAGATGAACAGCTATTTGCAGTCCAATTCCGTACACCATGGTTTGCTGATATGGTTAATTATTTGGTTAAAGGGGTAATGCATCCAGATTTAACGTTGCAGCAGAAAAAGAAGTTTTTATCTGATGTGAAGCATTATTTCTGGGATGACCCATACCTATTTAAGTATTGCCCATACCAGATTATTCGCAGGTGTATTCCTGAAGCCGAACAGGAAAGTGTGTTAAGGTTCGCTCATCATTTTGCTTGTGGGGGACATTTTGGGCAGAAAAGAACAGCAGAAATTTTTTTGCAGAGCGGGTTATTTTGGCCTACACTATTTAAAGATGCATATAATTGGTGCAAGGCTTGTGATAGGTGTCAAAGAGTCGGCAACCAGTCCAAAAGGAATGAGATGCCCCAACAAAGTATTTTGATTGTTGAATTATTTGATGTTTGGGGTATTGATTTCATGGGACCATTTCCATTTTCCCATAGGAATCACTATATTTTAGTTGCTGTGGAGTATGTTTCTAAGTGGGTCGAGGCCATTGCAGCACCAACTAATCAGGGATCAGTAGTCCTGAGGTTCCTCCAAGGGGTTATATTTCCGTGTTTTGGAATTCCATGCGTTATTCTTAGTGATGGGGGGAAGCACTTTATTAATAAACCATTTGCTAATTTGTTGGCAAAATATGGGATTAATTATCGTGTGGCTACACCTTATCATCCACAGACATCTGGTCAAGTGAAAGTTTCAAACAGAAAATTAAAACGCATTTTGGAGAAAACAGTTGGTTCAACACGAAGAGATTTGAGTTTAAAATTAAATGATGCATTGTGGGCCTATAGGACAGCTTATAAAACTCCTATTGGGATGTCACCATTTCGACTCATTTATGGGAAAGCATGTCATCTACCTATGGAACTTGAACATAAGGCGTACTGGGCAATTAAAGAGTTAAATTTTTCATATGACTCAGCTGGGGAACAACGTAAATTGCAGCTCAATGAGCTGGAGGAAATTCGTCAGGGTGCTTATGAAAGTTCTCGCATCTACAAGGAAAGAACTAAGGCGTTTCATGATAGCCAAATTTTACGGAAAGAATTCCAGCCAGGGCAAAAGGTGTTGCTATTCAGTTCAAGGCTAAAGTTGTTTCCAGGGAAATTGAAATCTCGTTGGACTGGGCCATATTTGGTTACTAAAATCTTTCCTCATGGGGCAGTTGAAGTATCTAATAAGGCTCAAGGCAACACATTCAAGGTGAATGGTCACAGGCCGAAACCATACGTGGAGTCACCCTTTGATACAGCATACGAGTCTTTGACTCTGAAGGCACCAGTGATCTAGCCACCAGACTTCCGCAACGTCTAGCTACAGACTTAAAATAAAGTGCTAATTGGGAGGCAACCCAATTTTTCTAAACTCTTTCCTAATTTTAATTTTTGTTTGATTTTCTCTTTAATAAAAAAAAAACATACATAAAAAAAAATATATATAAAAAAAAATACATATAAAAATAATTAAAAAAAATTGAAAAAAAAAATTGAAAACAAAAATTGAATTACACCAGGTTAGGGGTGATGTTTACCTCTGTGGGACGATTGGAGCTGAAATGTGTCTACATTTCCATGACCGCAATTGTTTTGGGTTGTTGCAGAAAAGAGTGTGGTTGCGTGGCTAAGGCTACGGGTTTGCGTCGAGGTACATGGGAAGAGTTCCGAGAGAAATGCGAAAAAAATGGGAGGAAGAAGGATCTTGCGTTTTTTAGAGCAATGAAGAAGAGATGCAGAGATGAATTGGGGAAAGGAGAGAAAAATGTGAGAGACAAAGAGGTCCTTTCATTTTAGCAAAATGGGGTCTGCGAGAAAGAGAGAGATATGGGCAAATGGGTTGATCTTAACCTTTTATTTGGAATCCTAAGGAGTGGTGACACGGATGCGCGACACGTGTACAAATCTGGCATTTTTCTTGCCTGTCCGAGACAACTGTTTTGCAATGGGGAAATAAAGAGTCGTTTGGCTCTGGGTTTAATCAAACGAAGAGAGTAGGTCGGCTCGGTGCTCGAGGTCAGCCAGAAAAAAAAAAAATTTCAAATTGCACGCCAGTTGGATCCCTTTCATTTCCCAGGAATCCAATGTTTTTGTATTTTTCCCAGGCCCACATGTTTGTCAGGCCATAATGGAGGCCACGTCTCCCAGGTGCATTTCTTTTCCCCATTCTTCTATTTTCTTTATTTTGTTCCTTGTCATGTCGTTTGGGTCATTTCTTTGTCCTATTTTTGTACTTATTCATAGCTTTAGATGGTGTCTATTTTAATATTTCATTGTAAAGTTGTTAATTTATTTTCTTTTATTTTTTCCACACCTTGAGGACAAAGTGTGATATAAGTTTGGGGGTGGGAAAATAACATTTTAGGTTTTTAATTTTTGTGTCGGTTAAAAGTTTTCATTTTTTTTAAGTTAATATCCATAGATTATTTTAAACGTTAGAACAAATGGACATGGTGAAGATTAATCCCACATTAGAGTCTTTTTTATTTATCGTTGCTTAGACACTAATTCATGAATTATACTTTGAACTTTGCACATCACACCAACATGGTTTGTGGGGAGTGAGATTGAAACACTTGCTTTTAGTCTAAGTTTATTTTTAATTTTTGTTTTAAGTAAAGTCAGTTATTATTGTGAATAAAGTAATAATTGTCTCACCCAAGGTTTTGCCTAGTAACCGGGCCAGTCCTGCCTAATCAGCAGTGATTCTCGCGTCAAACGGTAGAGTTTTGGCATGGGGTAGGGTGGTTAGTTGGTTTCATAGCCTTTTCAGCTCGGGTTAATAAGTCCTTAGGGGTGTTCTACACCTAGTGCCCTAAAGCCCTAGTGGTTTGGGAGTCATTGGCCTAAAGCTCGCTACATGGGTTGGATTGAAAGCTTAAGTGAACCGACATTGCACGACCATTACTGTTACTAAAATATATATATATATATATAAATAATAAAAATAAAAAATAGTTATATTTAAAGTTAGTAAGTGTGAAATAAAGAATGACGAGAGGTAAGAGTTTTAGTCGAGTCTCCTTAACTATGTTGGTTCACTTTACACCAAAGGAAGTCTGTGAATTCTTTTCTAATTGATTCTAAATGGCTTAGACTCTGTGGTGGGATTGGTTGGAACTTTTGAAAAAATGTTCTAGTTTTTAAAATTTGCTATGGATTGCAACTTTGAAGGTGAAAATTTTTGTCAGTTAAATTTAGCTAGTTGTTTAGTTTGTTAAGTTTTTATTTTTGTTTGAGTCTTGTTTTGCTTGAGGACAAGCAAAAAGCTAAGTTTGGGGGTATTTGATGAGTAGATTTTATATTATATATTTTACCCTAATCTTAGTATATTTTGGTTAATATATTAGAAGAATTTTGATACTTTGAATTGTATTTTCAATATAGGACTTTCGACTTCCTCTGGAGCAAAACAGGATCAAATGGACGAATTATGGAGTAATTCTAGTTGGAGGACGTTCGTGAGTCACTTAGCTTGATCGTATCAAAATTTGGGATTTTTTCACCAAGCGGTTATTTTCTGGCGATGAAATAAAGAAGCAGTGCGTTGTGCCGGAAAATGACGTTTTTGGGCTTAAATGACGTTTTTGGAGCCCAAGATGACCTCGGATGGGTTCGTGGCCTTCTGGAAAAGTGTTCAGAATATTCCAAACATTAAATCCAGCTATATTGGGCCAGTTTTGGAGCAGCTTATGGGCCAAAACGTGGCTGTTCAGATTTTAGACGAATTTTATCATTTAATTTAGGGTTATGTTTCCTAGGGTTTGGGGGGTGGCTTGGAAAATATATTGCATAGCCGTCTACAGTTTTAGGGTACGCTTTCTTTTATGCAATTTTGGAGACAGAGAGAATTGTTAGGGTTTTGAAGACTTTTTACTTGGAGGTGCTTTCAATCATTTTCTGAAATATATTTTCTATGATTTCAATTAGGAGTATGCGGAACTAATTTCTATTGCTAGGGCGAAGCCTTGAGCCTTAGCATGAATATGTGATTTTTATTTAATTGCTTATGATTGATTGCATGCGTACTTTGAATTGTTAATCACCGGGATAAAAACTATCTAATTGTTTTAATGCCTGATCACCATTAGGATTTTTAGAAAAGTAATTTGATGCAATTTTGGTCAGAAGGTTCCCTGAAATTGATGTTGGCTTCTTGTGATTGATAATTGTAATTTCACTTAGGATGAATATCACGTCTTAAGGATTGCATGGTTTTTCAAAGGATTTTCATAAAGCATAATGAGTCTTTCATGTTCAGATTTGATCCGAACGTCCGGACAGGTTGCATGTTAGATATACGTTCTACGTTGGAGGTTCCAAGTAGAATATACAACAACAACAACAACAACAACAACAAAGCCTTTTCCCACTAGTGGGGTCGGCTATATGAATCCTAGAACGCCATTGCGCTCGGTTTTGTGTCATGTCCTCCGTTAGATCCAAGTACTCAAGTCTTTTCTTAGGGTCTCTTCCAAAGTTTTCCTAGGTCTTCCTCTACCCCTTCGGCCCTGAACCTCTGTCCCGTAGTCACATTTTCTAACCGGAGCGTCAGTAGGCCTTCTTTGCACATGTCCAAACCACCGGAACCGATTTTCTCTCATATTTCCTTCAATTTTGGCTACTCCTACTTTACCTCGGATATCCTCATTCCCAATCTTATCCTTTCTCGTGTGCCCATACATCCCATGAAGCATCCTCATCTCCGCTACACCCATTTTGTGTACGTGTTGATGCTTCACCGCCCAACATTCTGTGCCATACAACATCGCTGGCCTTATTTGCCGTCCTATAAAAATTTTCCCTTGAGCTTCAGTGGCCTACGACGGTCACACAACACGCCGGATGCACTCTTACACTTCATCCATCCAGCTTGTATTCTATGGTTGAGATCTCCATCTAATTCTCCGTTCTCTTTGCAAGATAGATCCTAGGTAGCGAAAACGGTCACTTTTTGTGATCTTCGCTAGATTGCTCCGGTCATTAGTGTGGATAAGTATATAAATGGATAGAGATAGGAAAGCAAACACAAGATGTACGTGGTTCACCCAGATTGGCTACGTCCACGGAATAGAGGAGTTCTCATTAATTGTGAAGGGTTTACACAAGTACATAGGTTCAAGCTCTCCTTTAGTGAGTACAAGTGAATGATTTAGTACAAATGACATTAGGAAATATTGTGGGAGAATGATCTCGTAACCACGAAACTTCTAAGTACCGGAGTGTGGTATCGTCTTGACTTGCCTTATCTGTCTCATAGGTAGATGTGGCATCTTCTCTGGAAGTACTCTTCCTCCATCCAGGGGTGGTATCTGTAACTGGTGGAGATGCACAAGGTAATGTATCAATTTCACTTGAAGCTTACTTGTAGTTTCAGGCTTGGTCAAGCGCGATACAAACCATGTAGTAGGAGTCCCCCAAGTCGCCGAGCTAGGGGATCTGCTGAAAGAGGTGACAGACAAGGTAAGCAATCAGAGCTCCGGCTGATTGTTCACATTCTCCCTATCTTGCAGGCAGCATGAAGGATAAAGAGAAGAAAAATGAGAAGAGATGATATGGGATACTTTTGCTTTTGAAGAAGTAACTTTCCACAGGCTTATTCTTGAACTGGGCTGGAGGGTTTTCTGGTTTCCTCCAGAGTATAAGGCCGACTGAAGAATTTGAGGGTCAAAACAAGTCCATCAAATCTAGAGTACGTTCGACCCTGCTGATATGGGATACTTTTGCTTTTGACAGAGTAGTGGATGTATCGGCACGTGTGCTGTTACGCTTGTCTCCACATGCTTCCTTGTATCCTTCTCACTTGCCCTATCTGTTCCTCAGGCAGATGCGGTATCTTCCCTGGAAGCATAAGATGTTGAAGATGAGTACTCGAGAGCAATGCCAGGTAAGTAATCAGGTAAGGGGTTCCAGGCAGTCAGTTCCTGGCTGGAAGCTTGATTCCAAGTGCTGACTGATTGCTCTCTTTCTCCTTGTCTTGCAGGTAAGAACAAGGCCAAAGGAAAAGACAGGGAAAAAGCATGATATGGGATACTCTTGCTTTTAACCCTGATGATATGAGATATTCTTGCTCTAGTATAGCTTGTTTACAGAGGTATTATCGGGGGGAAAGAAAGCTGAATATTTCGAAAGGCTTCGTTGGGAGTGCCCTCTCAGATAAGAGGAAGGGTTGAGCATTTTTGCAGGTCTGCCTGTCCGTTGGGGATGGAGGTCGACATATATAGGAGTCTCCCTAACAATCAAGTAATAATGCTATTCCTTTACCCTGCTTGGTCATAGCACGGTAGTGGGAGCTGCCAGCTTCACATGTTTTAACTCTGTCAGAGCACTTTGAAAAAGTGGTCTGTGGTATCTGGAAAGCTGATGTTGCGTGTGAAGATTACAGACAAGCTTTATCCAAGGAGATCCAGGCTCTTGAAGTTGGGAAAGTGGTGCCTCTTCGGTTTTCGAACAAGCAATCCTGTCGGGGATCTGGCTCTCTCGAGATTCGGAGAACGATGCCTCTTCGATTTTTGAGAAAGCAATCCTGCTGGGGTCTGGCTCTCGAGATTCGGAGAGCGGTGTCTCTCGATTTTTGAGAAAGTAATCATGTTGGGAGTCTTGGCTCTCGAGATTCGGAGGGCGGTGCCTCTTCGATTTTGGAGCAAGCAATCTTGTTGGGAGTGTTTTCTCGAATGTGAGTAAAGGTTGGGCATGTTTGCTAGTCTACCTTGCCACGAAGCACAGAGGTTGACACACAGGGACTTTCCAATTATCCAGCAGTGGTACTGTTCCTTTACCCTCTCTTCGATTTTTGAGAAAGTAATCATGTTGGGAGTCTTGGCTCTCGAGATT